AAAAATTCACAATGATTTTAGTGTGGGAGTAACAGTGATTTCCCCCGCTGTTTATAGTATAGTGTAATATATAGACAAACTTTCTGTCAATATTTATCAACTTCAATTTAGATTTAGGATGAGGAATGAATGCGAGCTAGGACAAAACTCAATTTATTCAAGCGAGGAAGAGGTCTATCCTTGGACTCAATCTCAACTCTCTTTTACCAGTATTTCAACTTTTAAATACATTCTGGCAGTAACTGATCAATATATATAATAAATTCATGCAGATGACAAATACAAACCTAGAACAGAACAGACAAAAGTTTGCCTAATCAATTTGTAGCCTTCTTCTATAGACATTCAACCTGGCTCAGTATCGCACTTTCCTGAGGGGCCTCAGCATTCCCTTCCTCTTTTCAATTAGCCACAAAACCATCAGAGTAATAAACTACTTTAAACTGTAGCAAATCAAAAAAACTCGATGAGATACAAAATCTCCTCCTGCGTTTCAGGAGTCTCAATCGTCCCCGCTGAGGTTGTGTTTTTTTTTCCCCACACGCACCCTCCCTGAGAACACCTAAAAGTACATTCAATCTTTCATTTTCATTCCAATTCTCCAATTTACGTCCCCTTCCTCCCTATTCAGCCAAAACCTCTGCATGGGAAATGATAAGTACCCCATTCCCCTCCCAGCTACTTTACACCTGGTAACTCAGCAGGTCCTTCAATCCATCCAGACAAGAAAGGGTAAACATAATTTAAAAAAGATGCAATGGATGGTAACTTCCACTGCATTTTGATGCGCTAATCTTTTATATGCTTTCCTGAAAAAGGTGGACATTATAACTGGTGATCTGACAGATAATATGATGATTACTCATTGTCAACCTGATAATCTACCGTCGATTCCTTGATCGATGTTCTTTGTTTCTTTCGTCCAAGGAGAAACTATAATTAAAAAACTTAATCTTAAGCGAAAACAGATAGCAACCTTGCTAATCATGGGAAATGTGGAGTTTTAAACTTGACCCTAGTTAGAATGGTTGATGTCAGGTTGAAACTGAGATGTGTGGATCCGAGATTATCACATAGCAGCTGGGGAGATTCACCGACTAGAAAGGCAAGTTCCTTTAAAAGTGTGGACAGCCACATTGTTTCGGAAGCTGCATTCACTAGTGCCGGGTATTAAGCCTCTGTTTTGGATCGTCAGATTGCTTTTTTTTTCTTTTTTTTTTTTAGCTTCAAGAAATAGGATTAGAACTTAAGAAGTTGATTTATGCCGGGGTTGATGTGCGGGCATTAATGTTTCCAGCCCAATCAGCGTTAGAGTATGTTAGGACCGGAGGTCCAACATTGGTGAGTTGTATACCATAAAAAATGGTTTGTTTTAAGTAGGGAGGAGTCTTTTGATTGGTGTCCAGTTATTTGTAGTCGGCTCATGCATAAGTTCAGAGTGTTTGTTGATTGCAAATGAGATGTCTGGGCTCGACAAGGAGAAATATTGAAGCCTGCCAATTATTCTACGAACGTTGGAGCTGTCCATAGAAGCGCTGCCATCAATTAATTTAAGAAATTAAGTAATAGATAGAGGTGATGAGACATTCTTCGCACCACTCATGCTTGTTTGTGCTAAAAGATCACGCACAGATTTATGTTGTGACAGAAATAAACCTCCATTGGTAGGAATCACTTCAACTCCCAAGAAGAGATAAAGAGAACCCATATCTTTGAGAGAAAACATAGCACCCAATTGTTGAATAACAGATGCCACAAAGGATGAATTATTCCCTGTAATTACAAGATCATCAACATCAACATAAACCAGGTACGATCCTTGGATGTCAATGAAAACAGAACTAACAGCCCTGGAACTGTGAAAACCCAACCGAAGAATGGCATTTCTAAGTGTTGTGTACCAAGCCCGTGGGGCTTATTTAAGGCCCTAGTCTTAGCCTGCAAACATAATTAGGTTTAGACAAATCTTTAAACCTTGGGGGCTGCTCCATAAGCACAGTTTCAGTTAATTCACCATTTTGAAATGCATTGTGTGCATCCATTTGCCTTAAACCCTATCCATTCATGACAGCAAGTGATAAAACCCCTCATGTCCCCCAAAAATATCATGCAGCTCCTCAAAGGCCAGTGATGACTCCCTGGTTCAAGCTGGTGCTGCTATTTCCTGAAAGTCTGTACCTAAATCATTCAACACAGAGGCTTAAGTCATTATCCGATATTAGGTGTTCAATGATTGCGATTTCATTAGCCTAGGCCTTTACAGCGTGGAGATAGTTTGTGATCGACCGATTGCCACGCTGCATGGGCCATGCTGGATTAAGGTGAGCTCCTCTTTCAACTGCATAGAACTAGTTATTACTCAGGTAGCGTGTAAGGTTTTTAGCTTTTTTCAAGCTAGCATATAGAAAAGATGTGGAACTCATCAACAGCGGAAGAGGGGCACCGAAAAGCACCTTCGATCATAATAGAGTAAATAGCATAATAGAGTAAATCATAACCTATAAGGAGTGCTTCAAATTGAGCACGCCGTTGAAAAAAGGAGGGAGTTAAGTTTTCATTGATTTGGGCAGTGATGTTGAGAGCAATGAGTGTTTTATCTGTTGCGAAAGGAGGTTAAGTGTTAAGAATAAAAATTGGATTTTGATAGGAGAAGGGAGTTATAATGGAGATATGGATTGTTTGCTCGATAGAGTGTGGCTCTTCTGATACCATATAAAGAAACAAATATTGCAGTAGTTTCAATGAATTATTTCCCACACATTTCATTGATGAGAATTATGTATTATATTATATACACAGTAGTTTAGGAATTATACGAATGTAAAGGCTAAACCTATGCTTCCGTAACAATGTACAGCTATAAATTTCAACTTAGAATCATAGGATTTTAATTGCATAATATTTGAGATGATTTTAGGTTAGACTTTCTCTGTTTTGTGATCCACGAATTCTTCCCTTCCCTTATAAACATAAACCATCGTTAATGCACTCAATTCACAAAATAGATTAATCAATAATAAATACTCAAAAAACACAACTGAAAGAAGAAATTTAACTTTTACCTCCAGGGCATTGATCTTGTCTGACAATTTTGTATCCTCTTTATGTAAGTTCCATATCCAGTATTTTTCACACTATGAAGAAGTAATCAAATGCCAACAAATTTAAAATTTAATAACTTCAGCTGAAAAGCAAAGTCCAGGTTTGCTTCCAAAATAAAATTCAGGTCCAATCTTTTGGAAGAAAAATCTAAATCTTCACTTGGTCACACAAAGTTCAGCCCAGCTTGCTCTATCATGTTTAAAGACATAAACTACCAATCTAAATAATATAGGTGACCCACAATTGACAAATATTTCCATGACTCAATGGCTGTGGTGGATCTTCCTTTGTGTCGCAAGGATTAGCTAGTGATGGCGGGGATCAGGACCTCCCGGGCTAAGTCTAAAACGCTCATTGAAACCTCCAGTCATCTCATGCCTTACTATGCTTTCCTTCAACATTTCTTTGGAACTCTCTATCAACGAACGATCTCTTCCGTGCGCAATCTGGACGATTGAACGAGTTTCGAACATCGAAAATAAAAGCATAATGAGGACGAAGAATAAGAGCAGCCTCATGTTAGCCATTGTCTTGGATGAGAATGCTGACTGAGAAAAATTTTATGTGTGCAATGTTGTCGTTGTGAGAGAGAATTAGAGCATTTGGTATATATAGACATCACGAGCCATCATTTATTGATATTTAATTTGGAAAAGCGTCAAAGTAAAGAGAGAAAACTTTATCTGGAAGGATACCACTTTGATTTAGAGGTCACTTACATATTCAAAGAAGGGACACAATGGTTTCTACCGATTCCTTGGCCTCTTATTATTCATCTTTTCTTATTATTTTGGAATTTGCATGTGTGAAAATTGAATATTACCAAGGTTTTTAGTGCTTAAAACTTTACCTAATAGTGACAGGTGGCTGCCTTTATTTTGCTTTCAAACCATTGTAATTTCCCATCAACCCCTTTTCAATCTGTGTTCATCTGGATTTTAAGAAATTCGGAAATATTACCAGAAGCTAAGTGGTGAGGAAAATTACTATAGTTGTAGATTCACTGGACTGTTTACTGGATATCTTTGTTTATCTCATTTAAATACTTATAACTATAGTTATTAAAGCTGTTGAAGTCTTTTTATATAGTGCATTAATCATTCTCAAATTGATAAGGGATGATTATGTCTCTTGTTATTTCTAAAATATAACGGAAAGCTGAAAAGCCCTTAAAAACAAAAATCTCAATTTGGGTATCAAAGGATAATTTGGTACATTCAAACTATATTTTTTTATTATTATTATGTAAGGTGAGGGGTTATTTCTTATTTGAAAAATTATAAAATTAAAAGTACAATGACTAAAATACCTTTGAAACTTATAATATTATAATTAGTCTTAAGGAGCTTTTTCATCTTTTTCCAAATGTTTTTTTGATATTAACATATCAGATCATAAACAATTTGATATTTGGCTAAAAAAATAAAAAAACAAAAAACAAACAAGATACGGTAACAAACCTAAAAGCACATGGAATGTGTTCACACCTTTTGAATAGTGCATATGACGCCTCCTAATATTCAAAAATGCAATTTTGTTATGTTGTTGGAAGCGTCATCAAGTGTTATTTCTATTAGTGTAGCCCATATCTCTAATGGTAGTTAGGTTTGTCGCTGTATACCTTTCTTTTTTTTCCTTCTTGTCTCTATCCTCCTCTAAAAACTACAACTTGACCTTCTTGGTTGTTAGTATCTCAATTTCAATCTTTTTTTTATTTTAATTTTTGGTCTTGACCATTATATAAATGTTTTATTTGTTTTTAATTTTATATTTTAATCTCAATTTATTAAATATTATATTTTTCAATTCGATTCTCATTATTTAGATTTCTAATTTTTTCCTTTATTTTTTTACTAAATTGAATTTTTTTTAATCTCATCATTCAGTCAAATATACAATTTATGTTGTTTTTCAATTTTGGTCCTCATTATTTGGATTTCTAATTTTCTTTTTTTAGTTTTTTTCCTCATTCTTGTAATTGTTATTTTGATAATCCCTTTGTATCATTAAAATTATTTTTTTTTATTTTATCCTTTAATATTTACTTGATTGAAAATTAAATTTTATAATTTTTTCAAATTAGATACTTCAAGTTTAATAACTCAGATCACAACTTTGAGAAGTTAATATTTTTTAATAAAAAAAAAGTTTTATAATTCTTGAATCTTATGATTTGAATAGCAAGTTAGCAAGATATTCCAAGTTAGCTTGACTCTGATTATTATAATTACAAGTTTATTATACTAATTTAAATCGATTAAAATTGATTTTTTATATATGTTTTTTTAATTCATTTCAGCATATAAATATATTTTTAACATAAAAAATATTCTAGTCCATGGTGAAGCGCGATACAAAGAAAGTTCTTTCCTACTCATTTCGGTGATATGCAATGTCATATTCTTGAAAAGGAGATTTTTGCCAAGTCAGGAGCGGCTTGGCATCATCCATGTTCAATATATCCATAGTTGAATGATTCTCTTTCTCACAAATATGCAGGGCTGGCAAGTTGTACAACTTGAATCTTTGTGAGAGAGAAAGTCTCAATTCAGCAATCAAATTTGTGCATGTATCTTGAAACTTTACTTTTATCCTACCAAATCACCTCCACCTCTAAGTGGAGTGTTACTAGCTTCTTTCACACACACACACGCACACATATATAAAGTTATGTGGAGGTTACAGACTTTAAATTAAAAAAGATTAAAAATAATAATAACTTTCTTAACAATAAGCTTTTTGGTGGTGTATTGTCGTTTAAAAATATACTTGGATTCTATGTCATGCTCACTATCTTCAAACAGATGATAAGTGCATTAATTTACGTGAGATTATATGAGGCTAGATTGGCTTGGATGTTACTGAAAAAGATGGTGATACAGGCTGAAATAAGTGATGGAATTATAGCAAACAGGACCCCACTACCTCAACCCTTTATGTTCTTCCAAACTTGTTCCTGCAATCGGACTTTCCGTACAGATGGAGCCCCAGGAGGGGGAACAACTTCGCAGAATCCCTTTCTCCCTTATAATTTCCTGAGACTATCTTGAAGCCTTCTGTTATGTTTTTTAAGGTGAGCGAGCGAAAGGGATCGTGTTCCTTGCACTTACTCTTAGTTAATGGGACTGGCAAAATGGAAATGGCATTGCCTAATAACAAAAGTAAAGTTCTATCACAACACCTTCAGTATCTCTTCCACGAGAAGGCACTGTTCATTTTCAAAATGAATTGTCGGCACCGATGGACAGCCAAGCTTATTAAAATGCAATGGCTGCTCATCTCTTCTACAGCTTTGACTGAGAGAGATGGTGGTTTCTTTTCCTTTTTTTTTTTCTTCTTTTCTGGTCGATGCAATGATAAATAGCTTGAGTGCTCGATACATTACCGACTGATGTGATAGCCGATATGTTGGATGCCATTACGCACTGG